ACCTGCTGGGTCATTCTCCATTCAAAACAAATAAGACTGAGCTAAGTTAAAATTGAAAGCTGGTAAGATAGGCATGATAACACTGAGAATTAAGTGTTAATTGGGATGCTCACTTCCCTTTTCAGAGGGTCAGTTCAGATCCTAGCCACTTTGCTTCTAATCCAGCTTCTGACTGTTAGGCCTGGGAAGGCAACACATGTTGGCCCACACCAGTATGGGAGATGAGACCTGCATGGAATTCCTCAGCCCTAATTTTGCCTTGGCCCAACTTTGGCTGTTGTAGGTATTTGGAGAGATGGGGGCATAAACCACCAGATGGAAAAATCTCTGTCACTCTCTCTGAATTTCAAATAAATTATTTTTTAAACAATTATAAATTGGAAGCTAGGCACTCAATTTTGGTCACCAATGTAGCTAGGTCCCAACTACTTGAGCCTGTACCTTCTGGGTGATACAGACCTAGGGTGAGCATTAGCAAGAAGCTGGAGCTGAATCAGGATGGAGCTGGGACTCAAACCCAGGCTGTCTGGGATGTGCTGACCCAAGCAGTTTATTAACCACTAAACTCAACCTCAACACTTTAAGGAGATAAAAAAATTATAAGATTGTCAATGGTGATGGTTACAACTGAATGAAAACAGCGAATTGTATAGGTACTATTAACAGATGAATCTCATGGGAAGTTGCATTTATATCCAATTATGCTATGTAAGAAAATTATATAACTTAGAATATATTGTATTATTTCAAACGTTTCATGTAATGTATATTTTAGTGTCTCAAACTCCAGTGCACATCAAATGTTGACTTTCCTCTGTAGGTTACATTGCATATTTACATATAAATATAAATATAAATGTAAGACCAAGGGATGACAGCATATTAACTAGATAACGAACAGTGATTGATTCAGGACCAAGGGATATTGGTTAAAAGATGACATTAATCATCTTTTCTGTATATCTTTTCTGAGAATAAAATTAAGAAATGAATTAACATGAAACAAACCATGGTCAGACATCAGAGGCATGTGACTATATAATTTACCAGAGATGAATCTGAGAAGACTAACATTTGGGACTGACATTGTGGTGCAGTAGGTTAGGACAGTGCTTGCAATGCTGGCACCCTATATTGGCATGCCATTTGGAGTCCTGGCTACTCTGCTTCTGATCCACATTCCTGTGAGTGTGTTTGGGAAAGCAGTGGAACATGGCCCAAGAACTTGGATCCCTACCAGCCATATAGGAGACCCAGATAGAATGGCCTGGTCCTGACTCCTGGCCCCATCCTGGCTGTTGCAGACACTTGGGGAGTGAGCCACAAGAATGAAGATCCATCTATCTCTTTGTCAGTCTCTCCTGCCTCTCTCCTTATTTCCCTTTCAAATAAATCTTTAAAAAAGAAAAAGATTAACCTCATTTCATAATACTTGTGATGGAATCTTAATTACCCAATCTCCTTTCTATTCATCTCTCCCTTTATACTACAGGGACTATTTATTCCCATTCATCCAGTACAAATTACTTACTAGAATTGCTGTCATGACTTGGTGCTCAAAAACATGAACTGCAATCATCATATGATATCTATACTTAAGAAACAGATAAAGAAGCTGCTTAAGGTTAGCCATCTATTTGTGAGTATGTTCTTCCCACTTTTATTCATATCAGGACTCCTCACTGAATCCAAATATCTGACCCCAGTAGGAACAGCTCCCATTGAAAGAGGTGTGTGATGATCAAGGGAACAATTCCTGGGAATGGGTATGAGAAACCAGTATGTTGTGTTGCTAAACTAGTTCTTTGATCCCTGAAAGTTCATTTTTTTTATTTCAAGGAATGTGTCATAGAGACCCATTTTTTTAAGCATGTAATTTCTTCTGTGTCCTGAGATGAGAGTACTTAGGTTATAAATTCAATTTTGCACAATAGTCACTAAAGGGCAATGGCAGGATCAGAGAAGGCTTGGGAATTTCAACAGGGCAAACCATAGGTGAGGCACAAAGAAAGCCAGGGATAGGCTGTGGGTCAAGAGTCAGTACCCTGTCCTACTCCACTCAAGTTCATCTCAATTCTAGCCATCTTCATATGAGAGCTCCATGAAACCCTCTGTTGGCCTCTTTGCCTAGTTTGTAACATAAACCAACAAGTAGAGGGAAAAGTTCAGATCCATTTCTTAGAACAGTAAGTGATTTGTTAGATATTTAGATGGACAGATGGATTTCAGAAGCTCTTAGTTATGTAACTAAAGGAGATTGAAACCTTTGTATTTGTGGACACTTTTTGTTTCAAAATATGCACTAGAATATTTTACTCAACTCTGGAATATGACTCAAGGATGGAACACTAATTATTTTAGTAGAAAAGACTAAGTATCTTTATATGACCATACTTCCCCTCCCCATACTGTCTATGGATTGTGTGAATCAAATATGTTTATAATGCAAGTTTTTCTCTTTTAATATCAGTTACCCATTTTTTGACAATCATAAATGTTGCAGAGATTTAGTGTTGGTCCATTTCTAATTATTATTTTTTTTAGATTTTTTTTTGATATGCAGAGTAGACAGTGAGAGAGAGAGACAGAGAGAAAGGTCTTCCTTTTCCCGTTGGTTCACCCAACAATGGCCGCTACAGCTGGCGTGCTACGGCTGGTGCACCACACTGATCTGAAGCCAGGATCCAAGTGCTTCTCCTGGTCTCCCATGTGGGTGCAGGGCCCAAGCACTTGGGCCATCCTCCATTTTCCTCCTGGGCCACAGCAGAGAGCTGTACTGGAAGAGGAGCAACTGGGACAGAATACAGCACCCCAACTGGGACTAGAGCCCGATGTGCTGGCACCACAGGCGGAGGATTAGCCTATTGAGCCACAGCGCCGGCCCATTTCCAATTATTTAAAATGTGAGCAAATCAGATTACTGCTGATAATCACTTTGTAAAATATAAATAAAATGCAATACAGTGCCCAACTAGAGTATAAAATATTTCAATATATTCTTTTTTAAAAAGATTTAGTTATTCATTTGAAAGTCAGAGGAGAGGCAAAGACAGACAGAGAGGTCTTCCATCCTGTGGTTCACTCCCCCATTGGCCACAATAGCTGGAGCTGTGCTGATCCGAGGCCAGGAGCCATGACCTTCTTCTGGGCCTCCCAGGCCCAGGGGCTCAAGCACTTGGATCACCCTCCACTGCTTTCCCAAGGCACAGCAAAGAGCTGGACTGGAAATGGAGCAGCCAGGTTTCAAACCGGCACCCATATGGGATGCCAGCACTTCAGGCCAGGATGTTAAACCACTGTGTCACAGCACCAGCCCCTCAATACATTCTTATGATATCCAGGCATTTTGTGTGGCAGCAGCCTAGCTGACAGTTGGCATGACTCATGCTCATGAACAGGTCTATGTGAAGGTCTCTTGATTGTATATGGCATGCAATTAAATTCTTCCTTACCAAGAGTATATCAGCATTTGATATATAACAAATCAACAAAAATATGTTATGGTTTTCTTTGTAATTATTTTTTAAAAGGCTGAGCATCAGAGAAGGGGTGGAGGGGGGAGGGACAAAGGATGAGGGAGAAAGAGACTGTTCCATCTACTGCTTGATTCACTCTCTAATTATCCTAACGGCCAGGGCTATGCCAGGCTGAAGCCAGAAGGAAATAATCTTACCTGCATCTCTTTTGAAGGTAACAGGAACCCAAGTACTTATCCATCATCCACTACCTCCCAGGTACAACAGCAGGGTGTTTTATTTTAAGTATGGAATAACCAGGATGAAAACCACAAATTTGCTTATGGGATGTGTGTCCCAAGCAATATTCTAACCTGCATCACCATATACAACCCTCTCAAGTTTGGTGGTTTGCTCTGGCTCTTGCCCAAACCCTGTGTCTCCAATAGACAAGTCCCAGACTTCTTCATAATATAAATGTTTAATAAGGTAAACTCCAATAAGCAAGTACTTTTCAAAGTGTGTAGGTGTCATATTTACTGATGTCCAGTTGTGTAAAGCAAGAAAAATGGTAATGCCAAGGATCATTGTGATGAAGATTATTTGAAGGCTTGTGTGTTGGGAGGTGTGTTATTTGGGATAATTACTAGGAAAGTATAGTACAATAAGTATGTATTATATCCATTTTTACTGTACAGTTGTGGGTAAAAATACACAGGTTGCTAAATGACTAAATTCTATAGGATTTTCAGTATATGGACGGACTCCTGTTCAGTACATCTGTAGTAATACCAAAGTAGTTAATACCACTCAAGTATTTTTTTTTCTGTAGTATGGTTTTAGTGACAAAATGATGTTTACTTCTATGATATACTGAAATTTGTTTAAACAGTCATCCTGAAAATAATAAATTGCTTCTCAGTCATAACATTAGCTTTTTTATTTAAAGATATATTTTATTTATTAAAAAGACAGAGTTACAGAGAGAGGTAGAGACAGAGAGAGAGGTCTTCTATCTGCTGGTTCACTCTCCAGATGGCTGCAATGGCTGGAGCTGCACCGATCCAAAGCCAGGAGCTAGGAGCTTCTTCTGGGTCTTCCATGTGGGTGCAGAGGCCCAAGGACTTGGGCCATCTTCTACTGCTATCCCAAGCCATACAGGATCAGAAGAGGAGCAGCTGGTACTAGAATCATTGCCCATATGGGAAGCCGGTGCTTCAGGCCAGGGCATTAACCCACTGTGCTACAGTGCCGGCCCTATCACTTGCTTTTTAAAAATAAGTAGCAACAAAATGATTCCATTAACCTAAGGATAATTAGATTTAATCACTGCCAGTTAGTAAAATTTTGGGTGCTCTTTCAGGATCTTCCCTTTCCCTTATCAAGTGTAAATTGCTAACTCACCACAGAGATTGTTTCTGTTTCTCCAGCTAATATATCTATAATTCTGCATTCATTTCTATCATGATCTTCCCTACATTGTATAGTCTAAGTGCAAGCGAGACCAGTTCTCTCACAACTCCCTGTATTCACTTTCTTTCCCAGGTGTAATTGTAGATACCACTACATGTTTCGGGGGCCAAAGAAAATGAATACAACACCAGTAAGTTGTTGCTTATTTCTCAACTTGTTTTACATTGTATTATAGGAGCTTTATGAGCATTTTTAAATTAAAATGGAAACATAAAGTGATAAACAAGGTAGTATTGTCATAGTTATAAGGTATTAGAGCCATCAGAGCTGATTGTAAATTTGTCTACAGTCTTTCTGATGCCTCAAAGACATATCTGTTACATGGTCCAAATCAGAAATTAGAATTTGCTAAATTCTAGTGGAAAATGAAGTCTGGAATAGTATTTATTGGTCATATGATGCTAAAGTGGAAGTGGTTTAGTTCCAATCTAGAAATAAACATACAACATTCTGCACTGGTAAGAGTTGCTAACTGGTAATAAATCAGTTAATAAAGTGTTTTAGGAATTGTGAAAATAACCTTGGGAGACTGTACCGGATTTATGGGTTGGACTGGGGTTGTGTGGAGAGCAGAATCTCTTCAGATTCTTAAACAGCTCTACATACATTTCTTCCTGCCAGACTATACATGCTGGTTGTGCTGCAAACTTCCCAAAGCTCTGTCTTCCAGCAAATCATTCCATTCTTCATTCATACTTTAAGCTACTCAAAGTACCCTCAATTCAATTAGTCAAACATTTATCAATGTCATTAAGTATATTGTCTGGCTTTTGCCTTGCTTGAATCTTTTACATTTAAAATATATTTACATATTTGAGAATTAGAAATAGAGACAGGTAGATTAGGAGAAATTAAAGAGCCTCTTATCCACTAACTTACTCTCCTAAATATCCATAGTAACCAAGAATGAATCCAAGAGCCAGGAATGTACTCCTTTCCCCTGACATGAGTGGTAGAAGCCTAATTACTTGAATTATCACCACTGCCTCCCAGCACATGCGGTAGCATAAAATTGGACTCAAAAGCAAGAGCTGGGAATAAAAACAAGCACTGTTAACTAGAATTAGAATATCTTTTTAAAATTTTATTTATTTATATAAGTAGAACAGATTTCATGTATTTCCTATATATGGTTTTAAGAACATGACGATACTTTTCACTCTCTCTCCCTTCCCTTCCTCCTTTTCCCTTTCTTATTTTTCTTTTAATTTGTGTGATAGCACATTTTCAAGTTACTTTATAATCACAAGCTCAGTCCTCCACTAAATAAAGAATTCAACAAGTAGATAGTAGAAACGTCACTGTTCCTGAGGAATATAGACAAGGGATACAGATGATAATTAGATCTCAAGATGTCAGTTTCACTCATACATTTTTTTCTGCTGTATAGGCTACCAAAAATCAGAGAAAATATTTTTGTCTTTTTAGGATTGACCTGTTTCAGTAGGCATAATTGTCTTCAATTGCATCCATTTTGTTGCAGAAGAAGGATTTCATTCTTTTTTATGGCTGAGTAGTATTCCATTTTATATATGTGTGTGTACATACATACACACACACACACACACACACACATACCACATTTGCTTTATCTAGTCATCAGTTTATGGACATCTGGGTTGATTCCCTATCTTAGCTATTATGAATTGAGCTGCTATATAAAGTTGGGGGCACAGGTAATTCTTTCATATGCTGATTTTATTTCCTTTGGGTAAATTCCCAGGAGTGGGATGACTATGTCATGTGTTATATCCATTTTTGGATTTCTGAAGAATCTCCAAAATGTCTTCCATAATGATTGTGTTAGTTCACATTCCCACCTAAGTGTATAAGGGTACATTTTGCCTACATTCTTGCTAATATTTATTTGGAGGGGCACTTTTGGGTGAAAGCCATTCTTACTGGGGTGAAGTGAAACCTCATTATGGTTTTTATTTTCATTTCTCTTGTGCAAATCTTGTTGCCTTGGCTTTGGTTCTAGGTGAACCCAGGATTGTAGTGTCTGAGTGAGTCCTTTTATTTTAGTGGCTGTCAGCTGTGTCTGTTAGTAACACAATGGTCTAGTCAGCTGCAGTTCCTAGGGATGGAAATGTGCCTTTTAGATGAATAAGGGTTTCTTTGGGTGTGCATCTTTGGTCCACAGATTCTGTGTTAAGTCTCCCTGATGATTGCGATAGCCAAGGGCTTGTTCTTGGTGCTGAGGAAGATGAGGATGGCTGGTCCTTGACTTACCGGCAAGCCTGAGTGATACTGGGATTTGTGGCACTGATTTCTGTGGCTTTAGGACTGTGTGATATGGATTGTCCCTTCCTCAGTTCTTGGTAAGAGAGTCCAACTGGCACTTTGTTGTGTAATAACAACAACCCTAGTCCTAGGACTAGGTGTACAGGTTTTACTCTGCAGAGTAAATGGGTCCAGAGAGGAGGAATGCAAGCAGGTTCTTCCCTATGTCCACTGGGTAGATTTCAGTGGCACTCAGAAATTTACAATAATTGTTACAGTCCTGGTCTTTCAGGTATAGTGGATCATTACCCAGATCTCCTGGGGTGGGAACAAACATTTTTATGGCCTGCTTCTGGTGGTAGCCCCCAGAAGCTAAGGCGATTTTCCCTGGCTCAGGTAGAGTATGTGAGTGTAGCTCTGCCCCCAAACTCCCACAGACGCAGGATGCAGGGATCTGTCTTTTGCCTTACACATTGCCCTGACTCTACAGTGCTGGTAGGAGCAGAGCAGAGGCTCACTGTGTATCTTCTCTGCTCAGTGTCATGCTCTGCAGGAATCAGGGAGGGGAAGGAAGCAAGGAGGCTTCCCTGCTCCAAGCTCATCAGTTGCTCAGGCCCCATCAGCTCTCAGGTTGAGGTAGGAAGTCAGTGGGTGACTGACTTTTTTTTTTTTTTTACTTCTTTGTCTAACATTTCGGTCAGTCACTTCTCTGGAAAATAGTATTTCCTTTGTTCTGTTCATATCTCAGAGCAGCTTAAGTCATTATGGCTATACCCGATTCAGCCATCTTGGATCTCACCATGATATATTTTTGATTTGTAGCTCATCATTTATTCTGTTGTTGTGAATGTTGGATAGTGATTTATAAATATTATTTTGGTCAATACTGTCATTCATGTGTATGGTTGATGTTTTATTAGTTTCATCAATTACTATAAAATGTAAATCAATTTTCTAACATTACTTTTGAGGCTTTTTCTTAAGTTTCTTTTTTAGTTTTGTGGACTTTGTTTCATATCATTTGAGGTTTTGTTTTTAGGCACATTAGCATTTATAATGATATGATCAGCCTGATTTATTATCTGTTTATTATGATGAAAAGTCCCTGAGTATTTCTTTAGCGATATAAGACCCAAAAAATCATTTGGTTTGACCCTGCCAAGACAACCACAGGTGGTATTATTAATTCAAGGAGCTAATGACAAGCTAATTTTAAGTTGATAATTTTGTATGGACAGCACATAATGTTGTAATATCCAAATGGCCTTTGGCAGTAAAAAATGCTCCTATGTTCCTAACTCCTACTAATCCAAGTATTCATTTTGTATCATTTTATTTGAAAATAGACTGCTTCTTTTATATTATATTCTCATTTTCCTGTTCAGAAAATGTCTTTTGTATACTTCATGGATTAATGCTTTATTTATTTTTATTTACTTGATAAAAAATTAAGAGCTCTATCTGCTGTTTCACTCCCTCAAATACCTGCAATGGCTGGAACAGGGTCCAGGCTAAAGCCAGGAGGCTGGAACTCAATCCAGATCACTCATGTGGATATCTGTGACCCAGCTGCTAGAGCCATCATCTGGCACTTACCTGGTGTGCATTATTATGAAGTTAAATCACAAGCAAGGGTAGGAACTTTGATATGAGATGTGAGCATCCAAAGAAGCAGCTTAACCCAATGAGCGAAAATACCTGCCCTTGTTCACCTCATATTTTACAGCAATTACACTACATATAGAATCAAAGATGGAAGGATATTTTTTTCAGTGTAGTGAAGATTTCTTTCACTAATTTCTGAGGAGAAGTCAGCTATCATTCATACATAGCTGACCCAGTAGGCTGTTGTTTCTTTCACAACATTCAAGGTCTGTTCTTTGTATTTGGAATCCTTCATTTTGTTATTTGCTTGTAGTAGCTTTCTATCTGTTGATTAAGGGGTCACTGAACATTTCAAATCTATAAATTGATGTTTTTTTAATAAAATTTGAGAAGCTTTTCACCATTTCAAAATACATATTTTGTTTTTCATTTATTCTCTTCCTACTGAAATTTATTGCAGTTATGAGGGACTTCACAAAGATTCTGGAAAGTTGAAAGAAAAAAGAAGTTTATTTTAGTGCAAAAATGTTAGTAACCCATGCATAAAACTGGTCTAGAAGTTCATTGAAAATGCATACTATAAAACATGATTCATAAAGGTTATGGAAAGTGTGTATTTGTAGATTAAATTTTTTTAACCAAAGTGAACTTTTCTTTTTAATTCTGCATTTTAAATGTTAGATTACTTTCTATATTGTTCCTGGACTTCTGAAGCTTTGCATATTTATGTAGTATCTTTCATTAATTAAAAAAGGCTTTTGGGGGGTGACACTGTGGCATGGTGGGCTAAGCCTCTGGCTGTGGTGCTGGCATCCCATATTGGTACCAGTTTGTATCCCAGATGCTCCTTTTCCAATCCAGCTTATGGCCGGGAAAGGCAGCAGAAGGTGGCCCAAGTGCTTGGTTCTCTGTACCCATGTGGGAGACCCAGAGGAATCTCCTGGCTTCTGATTGGCTTAGCTCTGGCTGAGCCATCTGGAAAGTGAACCAGTGGATGGAGGAACTTTCTGTCTTTCATTCTGTCTGTAACTCTGCCTCTCAAATTAATCATACAGTCTTTAAATAAAAAAAGTATTTTGATCTATGTCCATCTTAGTCTCTTTGTGATAAGACTGTCAAACAGGTTATTTAGAAAGAAAACATTTTTTGCCAAAATGTATATACTTTAAAATACTTTTTCAAAATGTATGCACTTTCTCTTTCTGTTAATAAAAGAGAGAGGGAGAGAATAAGGGAGATTCTATCACCTGTTTCACTCACAATAGGAGTTACAACAGCCAGAACTGGGCAAGGCCAATGCCA